ATATCGAGCATCTGATTTTAATATTAATAATCTATTTATAAACCTAAAAAAAGTCTTTAAGTGCACCTCATTATTTTTGTCGGGTTATTGTCTAACTGATTTTATATAAAATTAATGTTTTTTAAGATCATTGTATATATTATATATATAAATTATAACTATTTTTGATTTTGTGATGATAACTTGCGCAAGTTATTGATTTAAATAGATTTTTAATAAATTAAATTTTACTACGTATGTACATATCATTAAAGGAAAAAAGCAATTATCTAATTTTCACGGATGATAAAATATTTCTATGCAAACTAATGCAAGCAAATTAAATTTCAAAATTTAGAATTTAACCTAAATCCTGCTAATCATGTAACGCAATATATTTTAAATTGTATGTATATAGTACGTAGAATAGTGTAATATCGATATATAATTTTTTTAATCGATTATTTGCCAAACTATTCCTTAAATTGTCTAGTTTATGCAAATTTGATTTCTAAAAACTCCACATCACATACGGAAAGTTTTCAATTCTCTTGATTTACTTCTAATGGCAGCGTGATTTCAAATACATAATACTATACCTCAATAAATATTTAATATGCTCGGCTTAATTGAATGTTCTTAAAGGGTTATTTACTTCCACCAACTCTCGGCTCTGGTCTATTTGATATACGTATAAGAACATAAATAAGTATTGGTGTGTCAGAATTATATCTGTCTATGCATTCATGTATCCTATTCATCACAGGCCCCGGTACGGCTTTTTCGAACTGTCGCAAGCCGTAGCCACGAAGAACTTTCAAATTTTCTTGACTTACTTCTAGTGACAGCGTAACTTCAAATACATAACAACTCTACAAATACTTCTTATGTTCAATATTTTGTCGATTAAAAATTCGTGATTTGATTGGTCAATTATACATTCATTCTACTTTGCTAAATTTTAATGTTAACACCAAAACCTCGGTATGGCATATCAGATATCGGAACTTTTACATGTTTCTGGGTTTTACACTAATTCGATATATTTTTTATATACTCTTATGTTAATTAAATCAACCAATTAATAGACGAATTCGAGTATAACAGCGCACGACATCATTAGTAGGACGTTCGTATGAATGGTTCGTATGAATGGCTAGTATAAATCAATTGCTTTTTATACACTTTAAAGTACATAATGTTTTACAAAGAAAAAGTAATCTCATTTCATAAGGAGTCAATATTGCAAAAGACCAAAAACCCGACAAAAACTTCACTTAAAAATAAATATTTTACTTTATAATTTATACAAATCAATCATATTATAATGAAATAGGATATTAATAAAAATTTTCTAAAAATTCACTATAATAAGAGGTATAAAAATAAATTATTTTGAGCCTAACTTCACTATATCAAAAGTTGAGAGTAAATGTTGTGCGTTTATTCTTTAAATATAAAGATCAACCTGCCGATTTTTAAAAAGATCGACCGACCAGGTCGAAAAAATCGGCAAGGATAACTAGTCGTTAACCAACTTCTAATAGATCGCCTTTCCTTCTACCCTGTTTTCTACCCTTCAATCTTTTATTCTTTTTTCTATTCGGTTTCACCGAACTGTCAGTATCGGATCCAGTAGTATGAAAGCTTAAAGCTGAGTCAGGTCTGAGTCGACTGGAAGCCAAGGTAGGAGGCGGCACAAATTCAAAGATTGCTTGGAGTAATTCATTTTCTTGAAAGTGTACGTGCAACCCCTCAGTTAGTATGTCCCGAAACGCATTTAATTGAAGAATCTTTGCCCAAGAAGAAAAGTAAATTGTTTGTTTCTTAATCTTGAGCCTTTCTTGAATGTGATCTCCGCACTATAATAATTCAAAGTAAATAATTTAAATAATTCAATAATAGTGTAAATTATGGATGAAAACATGAAGTAGTTAATGACACAAACCTCGACAGTTTTAAGCACATCTCGGAATACAGACCTCTGAACTTTACGTTCAGCTTTTGCACGATGACGATTACTATCTGTGGCCAATGCGTTCAAAAGTTGAGTCAAATGTTCCATATCATCGTAATCAACTCCATCGTCATACTAATAACGAATTGGTAAAACGAATTGGTAATAACGAATTGGTAATTAAAAAAGTTGGATATAACAAAAATTTTCAAAACATACATAAAAATAAATTTACTTACTTCATCTGATAATTGATTCCAATTTTCCTCTGCGCTGTTCTCTTTTCCTAAAGATTCGAACATTAATGCAATAATTTCACCACTAGCAACGCGAACTTCCATCGTACTGGATTCAAGCTGTTTAGTAAGATTCGGCATGATACGTTCAAATTCTTCCCTAGCTTTATCTGAACTTCTTCTATTATTACCCCATAGCCCAGAGAACAATAAACCATAAGCATTTAGAGCACCTTCTATGACATCTCCTTCATTATTCGCATTAACGCTTTTACCGTTAGTCAATATAATATCATTAAAGAAATCGAGAAGCTCTATGGCATCAGCATATGAAGCTGAAACAAAGCATGCTAGACCTAATGTCTGAATACACTATATATATTTGAAATAAAATTAATTACGTTTAGTAACATATAATGAACGCATTATTCAATAGAAATATAACGAAATTCCTTTTCTACTTTGAAAGATATTACTTAAAGTTCCATACTCAAAATAACAAACTTATGTACAAATACTTACAGCGTATTTAACTTCTTTTGATGCATTATTTGTTATAGTATACTTTAATAAAGATAATACATTATGATACATAGTTTCTTGACTTTCACCGATAGTAATAAAAAGTAATGACATCACTAGTAATAAAATAAATTTAAAAAATAAACTTAATATTTAAATTTTAAATAAACTTTTAAATATTTAAATTATAAATAAGTGTATAAATAAAATTTTAAAACAAACCTTTAGCAGCTAATTTACTTTCTTTATAGCTTTTATCTTTCCTGATTGAACGGCATAAAAGATCAAGTAAAGTATCACGCCTAGAATCGAGGAGATCAGCGGCATACTTTTGAGAGAGAAGGCGGATCAACTTTGTTAAAGCACCTTCTCTTGTACTATTTCGAAGATGTAAAAAAAAAAAAATGATTGATAAATTGTAAAATTTCAGATTGATCCAATTAAAGAAATTGTAATAAAATGGTATAATTACCTTGTTCTTTTTTCTCCCAAATCTTCGATACTTTGTAAAACTTCGTCCTCCCAATTTACTTCTTCTAAGACTCCATCTTCAGCAGTCTTACTACCAGCAGAAGCCCAAGAATCGACAGTGTCTGCCGAGGTTTCACTCCATACGTCTTCTTCGTCAGTATTATGACGACTGCTCAAAGGTGTACCATTAGTATACATGGAAGTTAATGGAGGTCCAGCATTGTTACTCGCACGTCGAGAAGCCCGAGTAGCTGCTTCTTTACGTAAGTTTTGCGACATAATTTTTGTATAATAATAATAACAGTAATTAATAGTTGATTCAAAGTATTTTTTTTACTCGGAGCGAATTTTATTACTGTGCAAAAGATTTGATGGATGCACAAAAAAAAAAAAAAGTAAAGAATATGAAGTTCTTGTACGCTTATATTTAGGAGGATTACTAAACTCGGTAATCACATATATGCGTATCTTTACCACATTAATACGTAATTGATAGATCTTCTTAGCAGTTAGAATAATATCCGCCAACAAAATGATGGCATGATTTCTTTATTATTAATATATTCCAATTTTAAAATTTAAGGGAGCACTAGAACATATATAATTAATAATTGTATTTTTCAACTTCGTACAGTATATTATGTAATTCTAACTGCGCAAACTGGCGTATTCATTACATTAGTTCTTCCATTCTAGTAACAAATTCTTCTTGTACCATTTTAAGGTACCTTCTTAGGCCATCATGATCCAAGTTAGATGATCTTTTGATTTGCAATAGGTGTTGAGATAGCTATATTGAAATTTTGTAAGTAGAATATTATAAACAATTAATTACTGATACAGTAGTATATACTTGAAGTAACGCCTTTCTACGTTGAATTATCTTATTTGAAGTCGATTTCTCTTTATTAGCATCGATAAGATCCTTCAACTTTAAATAAAAAAAATGAATTATTTGTTTCATAATACGTAATTTAACATATCATAAAACCGATAGTTGAGTTCAAACCTTGTGTGAAACTTCTGTTGCTTTTTGAATTATATCATCAGATAACCCAACAATTTGCCCAAATTTCAACCCTGAAATATAGAATATAAACCGATTTAATAATAATTTTTTATTTGAAATAAAATTTGAAAAAAAATCATACCATAATGTTCGTCATCATTTCTTCCATCCTTTACTCTATACAAATATTTCATCGCTACTCGTCTATTCTCTTCACCAAGCTATCATTTATAATAATATAATTTTTTTAATCAAATAAAATAACTTGACAAAATTCACAATTATCAAAAACTTTTTATTACTTCGACTTCTAAATGCAAGTTTACTACATTAGGGTAGACGGTCAAGCTTCTTGTGAGTTCATGAAAATGTGTAGCAAAGAAAATGAACGCCTACTCAAAAAAATATTATTTATTAAATAATATAAATAAAATATGAAAATATCCAATAATTTCGTCAATAATTTCATTATTTTTACCTTAGTCTTTAAAAGCTCCTCACAAACAGCATATGTTATACCTAATCCATCATGAGTTGATGTTCCTTATAATTTAAATATAAAATACATTACATTTAATTTTTTAAATATATGAAAACTTATTTGAACTGGGTCTTTACCTCTTCCAAGTTCATCTATTATAACTAAACTATTATCAGTTATGTTTTGTA